GAGAGAAAGGCTCCCCCCGTACGACACACATGCCATACATTTGGATTATGACCTAAAGTGAAAGTTACATTGTCAATGGACATATCTATCAGTTTTTTTTGCAGAGTGGAAAGGGCCGCTGTGAATTCTAACTACTAACATGAGCTAAACTAACCTGATGATCAGCCACTGTAATTATTCCCGCAGCTGTCGTGAAATATGTCATGAGACCGTAAAAAGCCACCCAAGACATGAAAACATCTCAGATTCCTTCTTATTATAATCGAATGCGAGTGCAGTACCAATTTAATTACATAAAAGAATGGTTAATCGATACAGTTTTGAGTTGAAAAGAAGAAAGTCACTCAAAATATTGAAAACTCTTAAAGATAAGCCACGCCTATCTAAATTGCAGGATAACATGTTATCTTTACCCTGGAATCCATCTAAGAGATAAAGAAAGTTTAATAAAAAAACTTCGAAGAGAACTGTCATAAACTTAACTAATTAAAGTAAAATCTGAACCAGCTAGCTTTAATGCAAACCTCCAACATAGAAAATCCAAATAGAATTAAAAAAAAATGTAATATCACTTGAATATAAATTTAAACTAATTAGATTTAGTCAATTCAGCTACAAGATACAACCAGGTCCATATCCGCCATTAGGGCTGAAAACTCTTCCATTGGAGGTTGAATATCCAAAGCTTTTTGGACTCGCCCCCATCATTAATTTAGGTAGAAATCTCTAATAAAACAATGCAAATCATAATTAGCTAGTGTAATGTCAATTCAGCATACTTGCGATGGGATTGTTGACAATCCCGCACCTGCAATACCGCGCGTAGCCTTACATACTACACAGGACTAAATGACAATGCCATTAACGGCACTGGCAGCCACTAAAGCCTTCAAAGGTCCCCAGGAATCTTTTGTGCCAAGACTGAGGATCAGAAGAAAATCATCAAAAAATTTTCATTCTAAAAAGTCTCCATGTTGAACTTTGAGAAGCCAATTGGAAAAGATACATTGTTTTTTCACCTTGCGCTTTGAGAAACAAATCCATAAAGAACTGCGGCCATGCTCAGCCTCAAATCTAACAGCAAAGAAATATTTAATTCAATCAAATGTGAGATTAAGCAGGGAGAAGTGTTCAATAATTAAATACCAGTAGTTGAAAAAGCTTAAACTTAAGTTAGTATTTGAAATTGTTTGATATTGTGATAGATGGTATTTTTTAAAGTTTTTTTATTTAAAAATATATTTAAATAATATTTATTTTATTTTTTTAAATATATTTTAATATCAATATATCAAAAAAAATTAAAATTATAAAAAATTTAAGGCCCGTGTGGAAATGTATTTAAAACCATGATTCTCAAAAAATTAATTATTTTTTATGTTTTGTATTATTTTGATATATTGCTATCAAAAATAATTTTTTTAAAAAATATAAGTATCAAAAGTAATTTTTTAGAAAAAATATTTTAATATATTTTTAAATAAAAATTACTTTAAAAATTAATTTTATCCTCTTCTAAACACTCCCTAATTTTTTTTAAAAAATAAAAACATAAACTTTAAGGAGAAGAATATGAAATTTATCTTTTGACAGCTTTTATTTTTTAAAACAAGAGAGCACGTGCTGAAAATATCTGCTAGCTGCCAGTACAACATGCACATTCTTCGGCCCCGCCAAAGCTGAAAATAGTTATTTGAGAGAAGTTATCAGCCCATTTGAAGAGCAGCATTACGGTTAGAGCCCATTGACCAAGAAAATTAAATAGTAGCTGGAAATATGGTTATTATTATTTTTAAAATATTTTTTATTTAAAAATATATTAATATTTTTTTTTATTTTTTAAATTAATGTATCAAAATTATCTAAAAATAAAATTTAAATATTTTTAAAAACACTTTGAAATACAAAAATAATTAGGCCGTTTCCATTGAGATGCCACGCGCCAATCTAGTAATTAGAGAGCAAAGTGGATATTCGATGCTGCTCTTCATTCTTATTATAACATGGTCTAAGATCAAGCTTAAAAGATGATTCCTTCGTCCACGTATTATTTTATTACCATATGTTTGGTAGTATGATGTTTTTTTCAAAAAAAATATTTTTAATTTTTTACATTAATACATCAAAGTCATAAAAAAACAATTAAATATTTTAAAAAAACAAATACACATTAAAAAAAAAAGCTTGCAATAACAACGGTCATTTATAAGTTAACAGGATCAATTAACAACGGTCTTCTCAGGGCACCTTATTAATAACAAAATAGATTCAACTGCGGCTGCCGGGTTATTTATTGGTAAAAATGCTCGATGTTCTTCTATTACAGAATAAGTTATTACTATTTATGATGATCCGAAATTAAAAATAATATTATTTTTGCCATATAATCCTAAAAACACGCCGTTTATAAGAAGAATTTAATAAACATCGATGGTAGATGCATGAATTTGGCAGTATTGAATCACTCGGGATCTCTTCTGGGTGACGACGTACGGTGTGCTGCGATTATCCACGAGTGCTCCTGCGTATATTTTTTTATGCATTGCGAGGTTAAAATAGCACCGATAATATCAGTGTTCGGTAGCTAAATCTTATGTTTTGAAAGTATCACTTTACTTGAAATTTATCCAGCTACAATGAGCTGCTTTCCTCACCCACGATGCTCTTATTATAACATGATCTTTATTTTGCATTGTAATTATATATTTAAATATTAAATAAAAACAAAAATACATTACAAAAAAGTATCCAAAACCAAAAAATATCAAACTCTCAAACACTAACTAAATATCCTGAACTAGGTTGAGATAAGCACTAATATCATTTATTATGTTCAAAGCTTCGGAGATAAATATCAACATATTAAAATTATAAAAAAATTGTTAAAAAATAATTAAATATTAAAAAAACATATTAAAAAATATCCAAAAATAAAAAACACATTAAACTCTAAAACACTAACTAAATATCTTGAACTGGGTTGGGGCAAGCGGTAATATCACCTATCTTGTTCAAAGCTGGGGAGATGAGCCTAGCTAGTGCACAGTCGAGCAACTTCTCGGTCTACAGGTATTAAATTGCGTTTTTTGTCCTCACTTCTAGTGCAAGACCCACTTGCCATTTCATTATCATTTATTCGGTATACTTGTACTATATTATGTCGTGTATATAAAACACCTTAGTAAAATTGTCTATGGAACCGTATCTGTATACGAGGGTAGAGTATATATACCTCCAAATGTACAGAATATTGGAGGCTCGTCGATCCCTTTATTACCTTTTTCTATTAATAATTATCTTTCATTTATTTTAGGGTTTGAGTTTGAAAGTTAAAAATATGAATTTTAAAGTATTAATTATTTCTTGGCTCTGAAACCAGATTGAAAGTGAAAATCCACGTACAACCATCATTCAATCGAATCCCAACGAGCTTTAAGCTATGTATGATTCGTCCTCGAATATCCTCCCTTTTATCACTGTCGATTTTTCAGTGAGAATTCCTTGGCTGTTCTGGATACCCTGCTATTTCACGTCCTTAATCAAAACTCAATAAAACCTAATTTAAGCACGGCCCCAGATAAACCCCAACCACAAGCAAGATCACAGCATATCCTTTGTACTGTTGTTGCGTTGTGTATCACCTTGTCTGAATCAAACAACCTCATCTCCCTTAGCCATCAATTATTAATAAATACACAGATCACGATCTGCCAGTCAATTTTGCCATGATCTTGACATCTTCCATCCAGGAAAATAGCCAGGGAAGCAAAGGATAATAATTGAATCGCCGCGAATATTAGCAGGAGTTAACAACGGTCTTCTCAGGGCACCTTATTAACGAGCAAGATTCAATAGCGGCTGCCGGTTTATTTATTGGTAAGAATGCTTGATGTTCTCTTGTTACAGAATAAGTTATTACTATTTATGATGATCTGGAATTAAAAATCTTTGGACTTGATCAAGCTTGTGATGTTATTTTTTCCATATATAGTCCTAAAAACACACCGTTTACATCGGCTTGGTATATCAAGAAGAATTTAATAAACACTGATGGGTTAGATGCATGAACTTGGCAATTGAATCACGCGGGGTCTCTTCTGGGTTACTACGGTGTGCTGTGATTATCCTCGAGTGCTGCTGCATATTTTTTTTATGCATTGTGAGGTTAAAGTAGCAACGATAGTATCAGTAGTGTTTGGTAACTAAATTTGGTGTTTTGAAAATATTATTTTCCTTGATATTTATCCAGCTGCTTTCCTCACACACACACAAATAAATAAATAAATCTCTCGTGTTCATTAACAATTTTATAAGAATTTACTTGTTTTAGTTTTTTTTTTTGTTAAGAAAAAACAAAATAAACAACCGCTGTTATATATAGGTTTTGAAATCCACTCCGTTTGTTTTTAAATTTTTTTTACAGTCAGTCGTCAATTTTTTAGCTTTTTGAAAACAAAAGCAAAAGCATTCAATTTTAAAGTCTTTTTTTTAAAAAAAAAACAGAAGATGATTTTTTTTTAAAATAAACTAATTTCAATGTAATCCTGAACAGTTAAAAATACTACACGCCGTGATTAAGCAAAGCGTGGAAGTTCTTTTGCCAGTCAAATGAGCATATATATATATATATATATAGTTTTAAAATTAAAATATATTTTATTTTTTATAATATTTTTAATAGGCACAGCACTGTATAATATTTTTTAATTGAATAAATTATATATATTTTCACATTTCAATTTATATTAAAAAATAATTTTAATAAATAAATTCTATTTTTGTTACCAATCTAGTTTAAGTTATTACAAGTCAAAGTCAAAATTTAGATTCGCAGTCCAGCACAATATCTTCTAATTACTTTTCCCAAGCCAAAATCTCTTCGAGTTCTCGTATATCATATCCTAGTGTAAGGCCGGATAGCAATAGATTCTATCAAAGTTGACTTTGTCAATAGCCATTAATTTTTATTAATTAAATGATAATTGAAAGTGTGATAATAGATATTTTTTATTTAAAAATATATTAAAATAATATTTTTATTTATTTTAAAAAAATATTTTTAATATCGGTATATTAAAATATCTAAAAATACATAAAAAAATTGATTTTTTTAAAAATATTTTTAAAATAAAAAAATAAAAAAAACCTTGTATTTGTCAAAGTCAGGGGAAGTTTGGATGCTGGTTCTCGTGTTGTTGATAAAACGACAATTTCCATTTCAATCTTGAATTACCGCCGACAAAGTTTGACTAAAAAAATTAAAATTAAAAACCAAAAAAGAATCTTACAAATATGTATGAAATAGGTGTCATACTATCGATATACTTACAAATAAAAATTATTTAATATTATTGTTGAATTTAATCTACCAATTAATTGAAATCTCCCGATATATTCTTATCTGACTCAGTTTTATATCTTAAAGAAATCCAGTCCCCAGTAAAAAGAAGGCTGCATTAATTAGACATGCATAATTAACAAAATAACCGAGCTTTACAAACATACGAAGGATGTGGAGAAACAAGAACCCAGGATTTAATGTTGGATGTGTCCTAATTTCATGGTTAGATATTTGAATGAAATATCAGTATCTCGTTAGACTTGCGAATATTTGTCTAGCAGTGTAATAACTATTATTTTTAAAGATATATTAAAATAATATTTATATTTTTAAAAATTATTATTGATATAAATATATTAAAACCATCTAGAAATACAAAAAAAAATATTAATTTTTTTTTTATAAAACACGATTCAAGAATAATTTATTTAATATACTCACATCGAAACCACATAACAAGGACATCTCCAACCCAGGAAGCAAAAGGGAAGCTAAATTCAAAAATCTGTCCTTTTAGCTGTTTTATCTCTCAATTAGCAGCGTGGTAGAAGAATAGCAAAAATAGCTTTTTTCTAAATAAAAAAAAGTTATTCCTGTATATTTCAAGAAAGCTAAAACCAACAAAACAATCCAATTAAATGCAGCTAAGTGAATAAGAAAAGATTTCTAACTTCTTTAAAAAAAATATTTTTTTCTTCACCTTCAATATATTTAACTCTTAAAAAAAAATTCATTAGAGTATACAATAAAAAAAAATATATATATAATATTCAAAATAATTTTTCTTGTCTAAATATAATATTCAAAATAATTTTTCTTGTCAAAATATAAACAAATAATTTTTTATTTTTAAAAATTATTTTTGATATCAATATATCAAAATAATTTAAAAATACTAAAAATATATTAATTTAAAATAAATAAAATAATAATTTTTTTTAAAAATACTTTTAAAATATGTAAACAAAACAGTCATAGCTAAAAAAAATTTAACACAATAAAAAAAATATATACCATTCAAGAAACCATATTAATATTTTAACACTTCGACATAGACATTGGAGATGATATAATTAATGCTCGACATGTCAAGTATTTTTTTGGTACTTTAATATCAACAGATAAACTGACATGATAATCACCTCAACACACCATGTGGCACTAACATGTTATTGCGGCCCCACATGACTGGCGGCACTCATCATTTTTCACAAAAAAAATCGTGAAATTTTAAAAGGCAGGGACCAAGATAACAGGAGCTTGTAATTTGTGGATTTACCTATAGTCCATTTTTATTTTTATGATTTAATATATATATATATATATATTTTTTCTTACTTTAATTTTTTTATATTTTAATACATTTTAAAATAAAAAAATATTTTAAAACAACCTCAACCACCACAGAAAATTGTGTTACACGCTACGATTGCTTGAACTACTAAACGATAAAAACGACTCAGTACGAGCCCGAGGAAGGACAAAAATCTCGTAAGTATTTAATAAAAAAATGGAATACTCACGTGAGACCAGGCCCACCACGACCCCACACCAACCTACGCCCTATAAAAACAATTAAAAAAACCATTCCTTCCTCGCCCTCAACATCACCGAAAAAAACTGACATTTTCCTCTCTTCCCAGCTCCTTTTGGCACGCACAGAAAAGAGCAACAAAAAAAGAAGAAGAAAGGATTTGTACACTCTGGGTGAGATTTAAAGTCCTCAAATTTGGTGATCTCTGATTTGGATTTTGTTTTTGAAAAAATCGAAAATGGGGAGTTTGGGAGCGATATTAAAACACCCTGATGATTTATACCCACTATTGAAGCTGAAAATGGCTGCTAGACATGCTGAAAAACAGATCCCGTCCGAACCTCACTGGGCTTTCTGTTATTCCATGCTTCATCGGGTCTCTCGTAGTTTTGCTCTCGTTATTCAACAGCTTGGCACAGAACTCCGTAACGCTGTAATTATATTTTACATTGCACTTTTTATTGTTTTACTTGCGTTGTTTTGATCTGGGTTTTGTGTAGCAAGTATTTAAAAATCATTTTTATTTCGGTTTGCAGGTGTGCATTTTTTACTTGATTCTTCGAGCCCTTGACACTGTTGGTTTGTTCTTGTTAACCCTGTGCTTTGTCTGTGATTTTTGTTTTTATTTCTGGCAGGATTTGATACATCCTAAATGGGTTTTGTTGAGTTTTAAGATTAATGATGTAGTGTTTTATGCTAGGCAATTGTTTGATTTGCTAGTTCTTCAATTATGTTTTGATGGATTTAAGAATCGGCGAGTGTCATATTGAGTTTGAAGTTGCTAGCTCTAGAGTTTTTGATATTCTAATAAATGGCTAGTGGAGATTTTAGTTTAGATGATAGTTTTGTAACCGCAGTCGTGAGGTCATTTTTTTGAAGAAAAAAGAAATTTGAGAGGAGAGAGCTGTTGGTTTTGCTTAGTTAAGGCCTGCTACGAGGAGAAGTTTCCTTGAAGCACTCTGTTTGAATAACACTTGATTTCCACTTAACCGTTGTACTTATTGATGCAATTTTGTTAGTTGATACATTGTTTTTTGTTAACTGTTTTCGATGATTCCTTTACAGAGGATGATACAAGCATACCTACAGAAGTCAAAGTACCTATTCTGATAGCTTTTCACCGCCACATTTATGATCGCAATTGGCATTTCTCATGTGAGTCTTGAAATTTTAGTTTTGATATCCTTGATTCTACAACTTGGAGAACAGTTGTCTAGAATAAATTTGTTGCTGAGATTTAGCTTGATAATTTCATCCGTCCAAACTTAACATTTCTTCTCTGTGCAAGTAATTTCTTGTACTGACTAAAAAGGGCATCTAGACTATACCAATTTAAGTTAGGATTGGCTCCTATTCTTTTGTTCAATCACAATACAGATTTTAACAATAATTTTTTACAACAACTATATTCAGTTGACATAAGGGTGCATTGTAATGCCTGCAAATCGTTTGCATTTATGGTCTGCTATAAAATGACATGTTCTGATATTACCATTTTTAGTTTGATGACTCAAGTGTCTAGTCCAAGAGCTTGAACATTTTTATAAAATTTGTTTTACATTTATCTCTTACAAACAGTTGGTTTATGTCTGAGAAATTCTCTCCTCTTTAAGGTATCCAGAGAAGTTTACTCGTGAGAGGCAACAGTTCCATGGCACCTGTATCTGTAAAATGTAATGTGAATTGAATAATTTTGCTCACTCTAATTTGATTCTTCTTTTGCATAAGGTGGCACCAAGGACTACAAGGTTCTTATGGACCAGTTCCATGATGTTTCAGCTGCTTTTCTAGAGCTTGGAAAAGGGTTAGTTCTACCTCATTTTGCCTCCTGTTTGATTGCATGCTGATTGAGGATCTGATTGATTCAGGGTCTATACAATGTGCTCTACACTTCTAACAATTCATTGCATCCAATCACAAAAGTGTCTGTGTGCCTGTTTATTCTTCAATAGAAGATTTATGGAACTCAATTTATTCTGCAGTTACCAGGAGGCAATTGAGGATATTACCAAAAGAATGGGTGCAGGGATGGCAAAATTTATCTGCAAGGAGGTTAGTTATGTGGGGATTTGTAATGCAGCATCGAATGGTGCATGGATAACTAACTTAAGGCAAAAAGGATTTCTCTAGGTTCCACTGCTGAATTGCGTGATACATGATACAAATGTGGGTGTCTGTGTGATTGCATCCATCATGATATCAAAAGTATAATAAATATGCACATGTATACTGTAGACTGTAGCTATATGCATCACAGGAATCAGGTATTTGGTTATCAAGTAGCCCATGCAATTTTTATTTGGGTTGTGGATAGAAGATGAATTGATTATCGGGAGAATGAAGAATGAATAGTGAAATCTAGAGTATTTAGTCATCCTCCTAGAGATAGCAAAGGACACTAGGGATGGCTGTGTGATCCCTTTGGATGTCAGTTAAAGAAATTCTTTGAACTCAATAAAATATGCTGACAGAACTATTCTATCCTACAGGGCTTTAACAGTTTCCTCATTATTCATGTTAGTCATCAAATTGCACAAGCTTCGATTTCTTCAGTTTTTCATAATGCAGAATGGAAAATGTTATGTTTATGTGATGCCATTAGACTTTCTCATCTGCAGGTGGAAACCATTGATGACTATGATGAATATTGCCACTATGTAGCAGGACTTGTTGGACTGGGCTTGTCCAAGCTTTTCCATGCCTCTGAATTAGAAGATTTGGCTTCAGATAGCCTCTCCAATTCAACGGGATTGTTTCTGCAGGTATCACTATGATGCAACAGCCATTGATGTGCTCTATCTGCGGGTTAAATTTGTTTTGAAATGTAATTCTAACATGTATATCCTGGATTTGATAAAACTTAGAAAACAAACATTATTCGGGATTATCTGGAGGACATAAATGAGATACCTAAGTCACGCATGTTTTGGCCTCGCGAGATTTGGAGTAAATATGTCAACAAACTTGAGGTTTGCTTCTTTTCCATTTATCGTCTCAACTTTAGTACCATAAGCATCCCTTTGTAGTCATTATGTTCGTGAATGATGTAAATATAAGTACAATACTTGAAATGTGATAGTGTTATTTTTGGCTTCACCCATCTGATTAACTTTCTCCCTGTTTTGTGTTTTGTGCCTCAGGACTTAAAATATGATGAGAACTCGGTCAAGGCAGTACAGTGCTTGAATGAGATGGTTACCAATTCCTTGATACATGTGGATGATTGCTTGAAATACATGTCTGCATTGCGGGAACCTGCTATATTTCGGTTTTGTGCTATCCCTCAGGTAAGAAATATGCTTAAACTGACCTTTGAAGATATTATTGTTTCATGTCTTGTAATTTGACCACCTGACTCGTTCTTATGCCTTTTCACTTCTTCTGCAATTTTTTTTTTTAAAATTTCATCATGTCATATATTTTATTACATGGTGAAGAAAACTCCCAATATTGTTAGTCTACTTGTGTAGTTTTATGTTTAGTGTTAGCTATAATGGATGTTCTGGTGGAAGCTTTCTTCTAATTTGACCCCTCTCCTACTAGGTCATGGCTATCGGAACCCTAGCAATGTGCTACAACAACATCAATGTCTTCAGAGGTGTAGTGAAGATGAGACGAGGTAAGATTACTTTATAGACTGCATTTTTTTTTGGCATCTTAAACTGGTGGAATGTTATACCAATAACAGAAATTGTTTTGGTGCATTTAAATATCTCATGAAGACCGGAAGGTTTTGATCGTTGTTATGTTATCATAAATGTAGAATTGCATCTAGAATGCAAATGCAATATAAGATATCATCTCTCTTTAGAATACAATAAGGTTATTACCAGACGGACCATTCCATAAATACCATTTGTTTGTTTGGGAACTGCATAATTCTCAGACTAAGTAAATCATGCCCCAGCTTGCATATCTTGGATTATTTTTAAAAATTTCACACCCCGTCTACCATATCACCCCTGTCCCCTGCTGCTTTTTATTGTACAAAGGATTCTGGCTTGTTAATTAAGTACCTGCATCAAAAATAAGCCTGGGTTTTCATGACTCCTTATTCAATGATGTTTAATTTAATGCTAAGCCTATTTCTAGGTCTCACCGCTCAAGTTATTCATCGAACGAAAACAATGGCCGATGTCTATGGAGCTTTCTTTGACTTCTCTTGTATGCTGAAGTCCAAGGTATGACGCTTTCCTTAATTCTAACCAAGACATTGCTTTTCCTGGCAAGTTCAAGTATGAAAGTTATATTTCTCCTGCTTGTAAAAACACCAAACCCTATAATGCTTCTGTTTTTCTTGCCAGCTTGTTTTGTGCTCGTTCATCTCATTGAACCTAAGTAGATCTATGCCAGTTAGACTTTCTAGAAAATAATTTCATCGAGGGGACTTGGTAGAATCTTCCCTACTAATAATGAACATATTTGCTTGTATCAATCCCCTCAGGGTTGATGAATGAGGGGATGAGCAAATGATAGTAGTTTGCCACGTTGTTTGCTGTGTGGTAGTAGCCTTTGAGATAGTGTTTAACTATGTGGCATCTTAATAACAACAATCAACTGCTGTAGTGGTTTTATGTATAAAGGTGGGAGCTTTTTCACTAGGATGCCACTGAATATTTATGGAGTCAATTTTGATCCTCATGTTTGTTTTCTAAATTTTCTAGGTGCCTATATTGAGAAATGTGTAATTGGATACTGCAGGTTGACAAGAACGATCCTAATGCAACAAAAACATTGAGCAGTCTGGAAGCAGTACAAAAAACTTGCAGGGAATCCGGGGCTCTAAACAAAAGGTTTGTCAAGCTATCCTCTGAGCCTTGAATTGTTTTTTTGTTATTTTATTGGGCTGACATTCTTTCATGCTTCTACCAGGAAATCTTACGTACTTAGGAATGAGCTAAAATATAATTCTGTTCTGGTGAGTTCTGCTGAATTGTCAATTGGATTTCCTCGTGTAGCCTGGTTGAAACTTTGTTGTTCAAACCAATTTATTTATTTCCATTTGGTTTTCCTGTCCTTTTCAATCCTACTGATTAATCTACAGTTGAATGACTATATGCATCTCGTATGCTTTGTGGGTTGATCCAAGAATATCAAATGTGAATATCATCTGATTTCTTTTACTGTCTAATGCAGATCGTCCTCCTCTTCATTATATTGTCTGTTATTTTTGCTTATCTCTCTGCCAATCGATCAAGTTACTAGGGTAAGTTGTGCTAGAAAAAAATTATTGATTGGATTTGCTATCATGATAATGATTTTCTAAAAAGCTTCGTTTGTTGATGCACAGGATGGTAGATTTCTTGAATTCCCCAGTGTGCATATGGATGATGTCTGGCTACGCAAGTGCTTGCTCTGTTCCATGGAAGCTGCTTTTCTTATAATTGTGTAACCTTATAATGGCAACAGTTTAAACTCAGTGTATGCAGTATTAAAATGTTATGACAGTTCCCATAGCTTCCAATCTCTTATAGTTGTAATTTATAATGCACCTGTAGTCTTTATCAGCCATTCAGGACTCTCGAGCGTAGAAATAAGGTCCTCTTTGGTTGTTATCGTAGTTCTTTTGTGGATGGAGCAATAATACCAGCTTGAAGTTTTTCCGAGTTCAACAGCAGCTGTTGACCCTCTGGTGAGAAAAAATGTCCGCCCCGAGGGGGACCTTCTCTCTTCCAGTTACTCATCTTCCAGTGATGAGGGACTGATTTCTGATCTGCCCTTATTTGAGGCAATATGGCCCGGAGTCTTGTGACACAGCAACGATATGCCAGGGATAAGCAGCAAGGGCAACATGAAAATCTCAGATAGGATTGTCCATATGATGAAAGATTCGTTTTTGAGAACTCCGCGGTGGCTGTCTCCGTGGTCATAGCTACTCTTCTTTCTCTTTTCTTTTGGGCTTAGGCCCCGTTTCTAATTAAAAAAAAACTAAAAACATTTTTAAGAAAATCTCGAAAAAGCATGTTTCAGTAGGAAATTTCAAATTTCAAATTCAACATATAAAACAAGGGATGGAGACTTCAATACGTTTTCTATACATGTCTATCTTCATCTGCCCATTCAAAAAAAATGTATTCGATATTTAGCTTTTTAATTCTTTTCAGAATAAAAAAAAAAAAAGTAGAGATGGAGACTTCAATACGTTTTCTATACATGTCTATCTTCATCTGCTACTTTCACTGTCCTTGTTAGGAATGATGAACAAGCTCGCTTGGTCACATGAATCATCCTTGGTAACCAACTTGTTCTTGGAGACAGAGGATCCGCCGAACTAGATGACTAGTTATACATGGGAGGAATCAAGTTCGCTCTTCTAGCAAACTTTTTTCTATTTTTTACTTTTTTAAAACTCGTTATATATAGTGTTTGTGAAGGGTCAGATGTGAGCCTTTTTTATGAATGTTGCTGGCAGAGTTCATTTCACCCAGATTGAGTAGCCCACAAGACTTGCAAGTGGCGATAGCATTATTGTTCCAAGGAGAGAGAGAAATCAAATATTACCTGGCTCTGGAGGTTTGGTATGAAGAGTAAATGTTATGAGCAATGAAGATAAAATTTTCACTGGAGGCGTTAATTAAACATGATTCTATATACACTTGGTGGGTAAAGAACATATATAGATGCGAGGAATGAAACAGCAGGTTAGAGGTTTGTTTTTTACAAAAAAAAAACTACCAGCAAAGTTCCCTCAAGGAAGTGAATGCAGTGTGTTACAGATAAATGAACAAAGAACAAAATCAACACTTTGTGGGATCTGCAGGGACACAAAATAGAAAATACCGACCAGAATCATCAACTGCATAAATTTACACTGAACCATTTTGATGCAAGATGCTAAAATTAAGTTCCACATCTGTAACATTTTCATGTTAGTGGAAAGTACTCCGTAACTCTGATTCTGTCTTGTAAACTATGAAAAGTCACGCAGCTTTACTTGGTGGTTAGTAGTTAGAAAATGGAAACTTATGGTAACTATTAAAAACTAGGAAACGACCTAACCTCTTGTGCTACATCAAGATCAGATGTGAAAATAAAGGGGAACAGCCAAGGAATAAATGCTCCGATGGATGCCACTAACACTCCAAGTATAGCTCCAATAATCACCAGGGATTTTAGCAGCATTCGAGAGCCTGTTTCATGTCTTAAAGCATATATAAAGAACAAAATCACAATCCCGTTTCATTTTCTTGACAGTGGTGAAAAATATAACAGGAGAAATATCCACAGCATATGAACATTCCGACCTTTTCTCTGAACTTCTCTCGGTTCCATACAGTAAATCGGGAATGAATGATTGTGCAGTTCGAGAGAAAGGCTCACCCTGTACGACACACACGCCATACATTTGGATCATGACCTAAAGTGAAAGTTACATTGTCAATGGGTATATCTATCAGTTTTTTTGGCAGAGTGGAAAGGGATGCTGTGAAATCTAACTGCTAACATAAGCAAAACTAACCTGATGATCAGCCACTGTAATTGTTCCCGAAGCGCTGTCGTGAAATATGTCATGAGACTGTAAAAGGCCACCTAAGACATGAAAACATCTCAGATTCCTTCTTATTATAATCAAATGCGAGTACTGCAGTGCCAATTTAATTGCATAAAAGAATGGTTAATCGATTGAGTTGAAAAGAAGAAAGATAGTCACTCAATATTGAAAACTCTTAAAGATAAGCCACGCCTATCTAAATTGCGGGATAACATGTTAGCTTTACCCTGGAATCCATCAAGAGATAAAGAAGTTTAATAAAAAAACTTCAAAGAGAACTATGATAAACTTAACTTATTACAGTAAAATCTGAACCAGCTTTAATGCAAACCTCCAACATAGAAAATCCAAATAGAATTTTTTTTAAAAATGTATTATCACTTGAATATAAATTTAAACTAATTAGATTTAGTCAATTCAGGTACAAGATACAACCAGGATCATATCCGCCAATTGAGCATAATTGCGATGGGATTGTCGACCATGCTAGCTGCACCTGCAATACAGTAGCCTAACAAACTACACAGGACTAAATGACAGATGCCATTTACGGCACTGGCAGCCCTTCGAAGGTCCCCAGGAATCTTTCGTGCCAAGACTGAGGATCAGAAGAAAATCGTCAAAACTTTTCATTCTAAGAAGTCTCCATGTTGAACTTTGAGAAGCCGATTGGTAAAGATATATTTATTTGCATCTTGCGCTTTGAGAAACAAATCCATAAAGAACTGCGGCCATGCTAAGCCTCAAATCTAACGGCAAAGAAATTTAATTTTTAATTCAATCAAATGTGAGATTAAGAAGGGAGAAGTTTTCAATAACTAAATAGCAGTAGTTGAACAAGCTTAAGCTTAAGGTAATATAAACGTTGTTTTTTAAAGTATATTTAAAAAAAATATATATTAAAATAATATGCTAATGTTTAGTGTTTGGATAAATGATGTTTTTTAAAGTGTATTTTTTTTGAAAATATATTAAAATAATATTTTTTTTTTAAATTTTGATATTAATACATTAAAATAATTTAAAATCATAAAAAAAGTTAAAACCCCATTTAAAAACATGCTTGAAACCGTATTTTCTAAAAAATAAAAAATAAATTTTTTTTTATTATTTTAATGTATTAATATCAAAAATATTGTATTATTTTATCTTGCATTAATGTAAGTATATGGTTGGTATTGTGATGATTTTGTTTTTTTTTTTTTTTAAAATGATATCAATACATAAAATCATAAAAATAAATATCAACATATTAAAATTATAAAAAAATTGTTAAAAAATAATTAAATATTAAAAAAACATATTAAAAAATATCCAAAAATAAAAAACACATTAAACTCTAAAACACTAACTAAATATCTTGAACTGGGTTGGGGCAAGCGGTAAAATCATCTATCATGTTCAAAGCTGGGGAGATGAGCCTAGCTGGTGCACAATCGAGCACCTACTGGATCTGCAAGTATTAAATTGCGTTTCTTGTCCTCACTTCAAGTTGTTTGAAAATGATATCCCTTGCTGTAGGATAAATGCAACACCCACTTGCTATTTCATTATCATTTGTTATTTAGTATATTTTTTATTATTAATAATATAAATATTTGGATTAATTTATACTAATTTTACAAGTTTTTAAATTAATAATTATATAAATCTTTAGTGATATTAAGAAAATTCAAACTTATAACTTTTAAAAAATAAATTTAAAATCTAACAAATTAAGTTATTCCTTAAGGGTTTATTATTCTATATACTTATATTATATTATGTTATGGAACCGTATCTGTATACAAGGGTAGAATAAACCACCAAATGCAAAGAATATTGGAGACTCGTTTATCTTTTTATTACCCTTTTCTATTAATAATTATCTTTCATTTATTTTAGGATTTGAGTTTGAAAGTTAAAAATAAAAATTTAAAATATTAATTATTTCTTGGTTTTAAAACTAGATTAATATTGTATTTATTTTATACCTGTTTTTACTTTTGTTGTTCAGTAACAAATTAAACTGTGTTTTATTTTACAGGTTTATTAAAAAATTAAGTTTGAAATGCAATTTAGTATATGTTTGGTATTGTGATGATTTTTTTTTTTAAATGATATCAATACATAAAATCATAAAAAAAAATATTAAAAAATAATTTAATATTAAAAAAAACAAACACACGTTAAAAAAAAAGCATCCAAGAACAAATAAAAAAAACATTAAACTCTGAAACACTAGCTAAATAGTTCTTGAAATGGGTTGAGGTAAGCTCTGAAATCATCTATCATGTTCAAGTTCAAAGCTGGGGAGATGAGCCTAGCTAGTGCACAATCGAGCAACTTCTAGATCTGCAAGTATTAAATTGCGTTTCTTGTCCTCACTTCAAGTTGTTTGAAAATGATATCCCTTGCTGTAGGATAAATGCAACACCCACTTGCTATTTCATTATCATTTGTTATTTAGTATATTTATTATTATTATTAATATAAATATTTAGATTAATTTATATGTATTTCGACTAATCTTACGGGTCTTTAAATTAGCAATTATATAATCTTTAATGGTATTAAGAGAATTTAAATTCATAACTATTAAAAAATAAATTTAAAATTTAATCAGTTAAGTTATCCCTTAAAGCTTTGTTATATACTTATACTATATTATGTTATGGAATTGTATTTATATACAAGGGTAGAATATATCTGCAAATGTAAAGAAACAATATTTTTATTACCCTTTTCTATTAATAATTATTCTTCATTTATTTTAGGGTTTGAGTTTGAAAGTTAAAAATAAAAATTTAAAATATTAATTACTTTTTGGTTTTAAAAGGTTGTGTTTGTTTTATACCTGTTTTTACTTTTGTTGTTAAGTAACAAATTAAATTGTGTTTTATTTTGTGGGATTCATTGAAAAATTAAGTTTGAAATGCAATTTTTGAATAATAATTTTTATATATTTTTTAACTGAGTTTCGTAAAATTTTATTTATTTTTGTATTTCAAAAACACTTTTAAAAAAATTTAAATTTTTTTATTTTTTTCTTTACTTCAAATTAATATTTTTTTGTGCTTCCAGATCATTTTAATGTATTAATATAAAAAATAATTTTTAAAAAATAAAAAATATTATTTTGATGCATTTCCAGGTAAAAAACACTTTAAAAAACAACTACAACCAAACACAATTATCAAATATTTTATACATATATTTTTGTTAAACATAAATTATAATTATAATTTTTACTAAATATATATCTAAATTCAACTAACTATGATTAATTATATTTTTTAAATTTATGTTTTTTCAAATCACGAAGACCAAAATCAGTTTCAACGAAATTATTATACTTTGATCAATCGGCACCCACAAAATACTGTGATGCAAAATTTTAGACAATGACGTGGAAGGAAATTGGAGTTTAATCATCACCATAAGCATAATTCACAAACAACGACTCTGGTTGGTATAAAAGCACATCAAATTGACTTTGAATTTTCCTCCCTGACCTGCTAATAACTGCATGTGGAAGTTTCGCGGAACACAACACGGTACTCTGTTTTGCTCAACGATCATGATCAGGGAGTTTAATCATCACCATAAGCATAATTCACAAACAACGAATCTGGTTAGTATAAAAGCACATCAAATTGACTTTGAATTTTCCTCCCTGACCTGCTAATAACTGCATGTGGAAGTTTCAGAACACAACACAGTACTCTGTTTTGCTCAACGATCATGATCCTTTTCTTCTTTTTTTCTGGGAATTTTCAAATAGAACTTCGACTGTAGACAATGACGTGGAAGGAAATTGGAGTTTAATCATCACCATAAGCATAATTCACAAACAACGACTCTGGTTGGTATAAAAGCACATCAAATTGACTTTGAATTTTCCTCCCTGACCTGCTAATAACTGCATGTGGAAGTTTCGCGGAACACAACACGGTACTCTGTTTTGCTCAACGATCATGATCCTTTTCTTCTTTTTTTCTGGGAATTTTCAAATAGAACTTCGACTGCGAAGCGTGTGAGTCAATTTGCTTTACAAGGGACATGGCCACGAGAATCCTTGTTCTGGGATAAAAGGAGCTGCGTGTGTGCGTGGTTCCGAAAGAGAGAGAACATTGCCAGAGCTTTTGTAAATGCTACTGCTGGAAAATATTATACGATTCTAGTTTTTATTTTTATTTTTTGAGAATGGGATTTATGAATTATTATTATTTTTTATTAAAGTGGATATTTGAGTTACTTTGTATGAATCTTGCTAATTTTATGAGTTATAAAATTAATAATTTTATAAATTTTTAATAACTCTAGAATTTATAAAACTTGAAACAAGTAATGTTTGGAAAGTAAATATACAACCTGATGAATTGAAGAACACTTCTTATAATTATTTATGAATTATTATTATTATTATTAAATACACAAATCACGATCTGCCAGTCAATTTTGCCAGTATCTTGACATTGCCATTATCTTCCATCTGGGAAAAGAGACAACGGTCTTCTCAGGGCACCTTATCAACGAACTAGATTCAATAGCGGCTGCCGGTTATTATTCATCGGTAAAAAATGCTTGATGTCTTTTTATTACAGAATAAGTTATATTACTATTTACGATGATCTGGAATTAAAAATCATTGGTAGGTGCTTGATCAAGCTTGTGATATTATTTTTTCTATAAATTCCTAGAAACACACCGTTTATATCGGTTTGGTATATTAAGGAGAATTTAATAAACATTGATGGTCATCAACTGCTTTTCCTCGAGTGCTACTGCATGTGTTTTTTTATGCATTGTGAGGTTAAAGGAGCACCGATAATATTATTATTAAATCTAATCTAGCAATTAACCTTGAAATCTTCCGATAAATTCTTGTCTGGCTGAGTTTTATATTTTAAAGAAATCCAGTCCCCAGTAAAAAGTTCACGACTTACCAATTCCTTTCATAATCCATGTTATTTTTTAGCAAAAAAAAACCTAAAGATGAAATAAACCAAAAGCTATTAATTATTATTCCGTGCCATGGGTGTACTTGAGTTTCTTAGAATTAACCGTATTTTCTGGATTAATAGCAACTCATTATCTAAAATTTAATTGGAAAATTAATTAAGATATATGCAGGCTAACATAAATATTTATATTAATAAAAAAAATCCTAATAATCTAATAAACACTTTCAATTTGAACTACTTTTTACACCCTGTTTTATAATTTTTGATAAAAGGTTACCCAAATTGCTAGAGATAAGCTTGCATTAGGCATGCATATAACAAAATAACTGAGCTTTACAAACATACAAAGGACGTGGAAAAACTAGAACCCAAGATTTAATGTTGTATGTGTCCTAATTTCGTTGTTTGTTAATTCAATCAAATAGTGTAATAAATATTATTTTTAAACATATTATTTTCCCTCCTCGCCCTCAACATCACCGAAAAAAACTGACATTTTCCTCTCTGTCCCATCTCTCTTTTGACACGCACAGAAAAGAGCCACCAAAATAAAAGGAGGATTTGTAACTGGGTGAGATTTAAAGTCCTCAAATTTGGTGATCTCTGATTTGGATTTTTTTTCTTGAAAAAATCGAAAATGGTGAGTTTGGGAGAGATATTAAAACACCCAGATGATTTATACCCACTATTGAAGCTGAAAATGGCTGCTAAACATGCTGAAAAACAGATCCCGTCTGAACCTCACTGGGCTTTCTGTTATTCCTTGCTTCATCGGGTCTCTCGTAGTTTTGCTCCCGTTATTCAACAGCTTGGCACAGAACTCCGTAACGTTGTAATTATATTTTACATTACACTTTTTATTGTTTTAGTTGCGTTGTTTTGATCAGGGTTTTGTGTAGGAAGTATTTAATAATCTTTTTTTTTTGGTTTGCAGGTGTGCATTTTTTACTTGGTTCTTCGAGCCCTTGACACTGTTGGTTTGTTCTTGTTAACCCTGTGCTTTGTCTGTGCTTTTTGTTTTTATTTCTGGCAGGATTTGATACATCCTAAATGGGTTTTGTTGAGTTTTAAGATTAATGATGTAGTGTTTTATGCTAGGCAATTGTTTGATCTGCTAGTTCTTCAATTATGTTTTGATGGATTTTAGAATCGGCGAGTGTCATATTGAGTTTGAAGTTGCTAGCTCTAGAGTTTTTGATATTCTAATAAATGGCTAGTGGAGATTTTAGTTTATATGACAGTTTTGTAACCGAAGTCCTGAGGTCATTTTTTTGAAGAAAAAAGAAATTTGAGAGGAGAGAGCTGTTGGTTTTGCTTAGTTAAGGCCTCCTGTGAGGAGAAGTTTCCTTGGAGCGCTCTGTTTGAATAACACTTGATGTCCACTTAACCGTTGTACTTATTGATGCTGTTTTGTTAGTTGATACATTGTTTTTTGTTAAATGTTTTCGATGATTCCTTTACAGAGGATGATACAGCTGAAAGCTCGTTACATAGGTTAAAGATGCATGGTGTTTTAAATTATATATATATACATATATATATATTAATTATTTTATAACCTCAATTTGAAAAACATTCTTTTAACAAAATACATTAAACTACTTTTTGTTCAACCTTAATTTCAACCACAATTTTAATTAAACATATATTTTTCTAAACCAATCTTAACTAAAAATATTTTTTATAAAATAACTTTTTTTAAACCATAACCATGATAACTACCACAATATCAAAATTAAAAAGATTTATAAAATTGTCCTTTCTTCTGTCTTTTACCGTTTCTTTTTACTATATTGTATTGAAAAATTATAATTTTACTACCTCTACAGCTCCTAATATTGAAAAAATAGTACCTACGTAAAAATATTTGAAAATCTTTATAAAATTTCCCTGTGCACGGGGTTTTAACGTTTCTTTTTATTATTGTATTCAAAAAATTATAATTTTACTACCTCTGCACCACCTATTATTGAAAAAATAGTACCTGCGTAAAAAAAGATTGAAAACCTGAGAAGAGTAAAAGGGCACATGGGTCTCTCAGTTTAGGCCCAATGGTTCGGGGTGATGCCACATTGGTGTTGTCTTCTAATAGGGAGGTGAGAAGATCCTCTCCTGGGGGCTCCCCTACTTCCCCTTCAAGTGGTATTCAAGAGAGGAGGTATAATCGGAGTCCCCACTCTGTTCCAGCAAGGGAGAGAAGGATGTTGCCTCAGACTCCCAACGATGACATCCCCGGCAACATCTGTGCCGGAAGTGGAATTCGTGGCTCGCCACTAACCTGGAGAGTACGCTGCCCAGATGCCTCTTCCGGATGAGCATATCAGCAAACGGATTATAAAAGCCGGTTATATTCTAACCCGATCAAAAATAATAATAATAATAATAGATAAATAAATAAATAATTAAGCAAGTATTTAGAGGGGGTAAAATTAAACAAAAAAAAAAGTTATAATAAATAATTAAGCAAGTATTTAGAGGGGGTAAAATTAAACAAAAAAAAAGTTATAAGGCATTAATTTATTAAGAAAAAAAGGATGGAAACAAATTTGAAAAATGCTAAACAAAAGAGGTCAATGTGTAAATTTAGAAAAGACAATTTTATAAATTCTTTCAATCTTTTTTGACGTCGGTACTTTTTTTTTTCAATAATAGGTGCTGTAGCCGTAGTAAAATTATGATTTTTTTAATACAATATACAAAAAAGAAACGGTAAAACACTGTAAAAATGGCAATTTTATAAATTTTTTCAATCTTTTTTTTTACGTAGGTACTATTTTTTTTATAATAGGTTCTGTAGAGGCCGCAAAATTATAGTTTTTTTGAATACAATATACTAAAAAGAAACGGTAAAACAATGTATTGTATTCAAAAAATAATTTTTCAATAAAAAGAAGAGTACCTATGTAAAAGAAATAGTATTAAATTTTTTGGTATTGACTTTATAAATAATATGGCATCTAAACTTTACCAATTTAAGTTAGGATTAGCTCCTGTTTTTTTGTTCAATCACAATACAGATTTTAACAATTACATAACAATATAACTAAAAGGTGTTGGGAAATGTAGCTTTTTTTATATTTTACTGTGTACTGCAATAACATAGAAATGATTATTTTTGGTTCGGTTCAGTTTTTATAAAAAAAATAATTAAAATTGGTATTTTTAAAAAAAAATCAAAACCGGTTCAAACCAACTGATTTTAGTTCGGTTATTTGAGAAAAACCAGTTCAAACCGGTTTGGCTTGATTTTTTTCCAGTTTTGCTCGGTTTTTCCCGATTTGACTTGATTTGGCTTGGTTTTTTTCGGTTTGACTCGGTTTTTTCAGTTTGGATTTAATTTGATTCTGTTTTTTTTTTAGTTTCAGGCTTATAAAACTGAAACTAAAACAGTCAGTTTTTTTAAAATTCTAATTGGTTTAAACAGTTTTTTTCACAGTTAGGTTTTTTTTATTTTTTCATGTTTTCTCGTTTTTTCAGTTTTTTTGCTCACTCCTACTATAGTGCTTCGCTTTTTTTTTTTATGTTTTTTTTTCAAAATTATCTTTGTCGATATTATTTTTTTAATATTAAACTGATTAAAAATTTAGCTTTATAATTTTTTTCTATAAAACATTATAAATTGCTATAGTGTTTCCTCATATAATTTTTTTTGTGATGATTTTTTAAAACATGTCGGGAAAACACTGTAACTTTCCTCATATTTTACTATGAATTGCTACAATGCTTTCATTTTCTTTCTTTTTTTTCATTTTTTCCTTTTTTTTTGTTTTTTTCCCTAAAATGATCTTTGTTGATTTTATTTTTGTAATATTAATCTAGTTAAAAATTTAGTTTTGTAATTTTTTTCTTTAAAACATCATGAATGCTACAGTGTTCCCAATATAGTTTTTTTTGTCATGATTTTTGTCAAAATTATTTTTTAATTTTATTTTTTTAATATTGAGTTAGTTAAGAATTACAGCTATGGCATTTCTCACAAAATAATGTGGATTGCTACAGTGTTTCCCCACAAGGTTTTTTTTTAATGATTTTTTTTAAAATTGTATTTGTCTTTTTTATTTTTTTTAATATTGAGCTAGTTAGAATTTAGTTTTGTAATTTTTTTCTTTAAAACATTGTGGATTGCTATAGTGTTTCCCCACATGGTTTTTTTTGTGTTTTTTTTTTGTATGATTTTTTCCAAAATTATCTTTGCCGATTTTATTTTTTTAATATTGAGCTAGTTAGAATTTAGTTTTGTAATTTTTTTCTTTAAAACATTGTGAATTGCTATAGTGTTTCCTCACACGGTTTTTTTTGTTATGATTTTTTTCAAAATTATCTTTGTCAATTTTATTTTTTTAATATTGAATTGGTTGAGAATTACAATTACAATAAATCTAAATCATATGGGGAAGCACTATAGCTTTCCTCATAAAAAATTGTAGATTGCTATAGTGTTTCCTCTCATGAGGTTTTTTTTCAAAATTATCTTTGTTGGTATTATTTTTTAATATTAAGCTAGTAGAAAATTTAGCTTTGTAATTTTTATTCTTTTTATTAACATAAAAGCTAAATCATGTAGCAAAAAGCTAAATCATGTGGAAAAAGCACTGTATCTTTCCTCATAAAACATTGTGAATTGCTACAAATCATTCTATCTAGTCTCTAAATTTTTTATTACCAATATAACTTTTTTTCCATCCTGGAATATTAGCTCGATTGCACCTTTAGTTTTTATTACTTATCTAATATTGATTTATAATTATAACACTACCAAGCATATTTATTTCATAATTCATGGTAGCGCGTGGGCATGTCATCTCTTATTTGTTTATAACAACTATATTCAGTTGACATAAGGGTGCTTTGTAATGCCTGCAAATCGTTTGCATTTATGGTCTGCTATAAAATGACATGTTCTGATATTACCATTTTTAGTTTGATGACTCAAGTGTCTAGTCCAAGAGCTTGAACATTTTTATAAAATTTGTTTTACATTTATCTCTTACAAACAGTTGGTTTATGTCTGAGAAAGTCCCTCCTCTTTAAGGTATCCAGAGAAGTTTACTCGTGAGAGGAACCAATTCCATGGCACCGGTATCTGTAAAATGTAATGTCAATTGAATATTTTTGCTCACTCTAATTTGATTCTTCTTTTGCATAAGGTGGTACCAAGGACTACAAGGTTCTTATGGACCAGTTCCATGTTGTTTCAACTGCTTTTCTAGAGCTTGGAAAAGGGTTAGTTCTACCTCATTTTGCCTCCTGTTTGATTGCATGCTGATTGAGGATCTGATTGATTCAGGGTCTATACAATGTGCTCTACACTTCTAACAATTCATTGCATCCAATCACAAAAGTGTCTGTGTGCCTGTTTATTCTTCAATAGAAGATTTATGGAACTCAAATTATTCTGCAGTTACCAGGAGGCAATTGAGGATATTACCAAAAGAATGGGTGCAGGGATGGCAAAATTTATCTGCAAGGAGGTTAGTTATGTGGGGATTTGTAATGCAGCATCGAATGGTGCATGGATAACTAACTTAAGGCAAAAAGGATTTCTCTAGGTTCCACTGCTGAATTGCGTGATACATGATACAAATGTGGGTGTCTGTGTGATTGCATCCATCATGATATCAAAAGTATAATAAATATGCACATGTATACTGTAGACTGTAGCTATATGCATCACAGGAATCAGGTATTTGGTTATCAAGTAGCCCATGCAATTTTTATTTGGGTTGTGGATAGAAGATGAATTGATTATCGGGAGAATGAAGAATGAATAGTGAAATCTAGAGTATTTAGTCATCCTCCTAGAGATAGCAAAGGACACTAGGGATGGCTGTGTGATCCCTTTGGATGTCAGTTAAAGAAATTCTTTGAACTCAATAAAATATGCTGACAGAACTATTCTATCCTACAGGGCTTTAACAGTTTCCTCATTATTCATGTTAGTCATCAAATTGCACAAGCTTCGATTTCTTCAGTTTTTCTTAATACAGAATGGAAAATGTTATGTTTATGTGATGCCATTAGACTTTCTCATCTGCAGGTGGAAACCATTGATGACTATGATGAATATTGCCACTATGTAGCAGGACTTGTTGGACTGGGCTTGTCCAAGCTTTTCAATGCCTCTGAATCAGAAGATTTGGCTTCAGATAGCCTCTCCAATTCAACGGGATTGTTTCTGCAGGTATCACGATGATGCAACAGCCATTGATGTGCTCTATCTGCGGGTTAAATTTGTTTTGAAATGTAATTCTAACATGTATATCCTGGATTTGATAAAACTTAGAAAACAAACATTATTCGGGATTATCTGGAGGACATAAATGAGATACCTAAGTCACGCATGTTTTGGCCTCGCGAGATTTGGAGTAAATATGTCAACAAACTTGAGGTTTGCTTCTTTTCCATTGATCGTCTCAACTTTAGTACCATAAACATCCCTTTGTAGTCATTATGTTCGTGAATGATGTAAATATAAGTACAATACTTGAAATGTGATAGTGTTATTTTTGGCTTCACCCATCTGATTAACATTCTCCCTGTTTTGTGTTTTGTGCCTCAGGACTTGAAATATGAAGAGAACTCGGTCGAGGCAGTACAGTGCTTGAATGAGATGGTTACCAATTCCTTGATACATGTGGATGATTGCTTGAAATACATGTCTGCATTGCCGGAACCTGCTATATTTCGGTTTTGTGCTATCCCTCAGGTAAGAAATATGCTTAAACTGACCTTTGAAGATATCATTGTTTCATGTCTTGTAGTTTGACCACCTGACTCATTCTTATGCCTTTTCACTTGTTCTGCAATTTTTTTTAAAAATTTTTCATCATGTCATGTATTTTATTACACGGTGAAGAAAACTCACAATGTTTTTCGTCTAATTGTGTAGTTTTATGGTTAGTGTTAGCTATAATGGATGTTCTGGTGGAAGCTTTCTTCTAATTTGACCCCTCTCCTACTAGGTCATGGCTATCGGAACCCTAGCAATGTGCTACAACAACATCAATGTCTTCAGAGGTGTAGTGAAAATGAGACGAGGTAAGATTACTTTATAGACAGCGTTATTTTCTTGGCATCCGAAACTGGTGGAATGTTATACCAATAACAGAAATTGTTTTGGTCATGTAAATATCCCATGAAGACTGGAAGGTTTTGATCGTTGTTATGTTATCATAAATGTAGAATTGCATCTAGAATGCAAATGCAATATAAGATATCATCTCTCTTTAGAATACAATAAGGTTATTACCAGACGGACCATTCCATAAATACCATTTGTTTGTTTGGGAACTGCATAATTCTCAGGCTAAATAAA